TCCTTTTGATCAAGTTCGAAAGAAGGCAACGAACAAGATACTTTTAATGAAGACTTGTGCAGTGTAGCAATCTCTTTAAATATACCGCTTTCAAAATTATCCAATGAAAGCTTAACTTCTTTTTTTTTAATATTGTAAATTGAATATTCCAAGTAAACGAACTCTTCTTCTTCTTAGGGTGCCTGTCCATTCCGAACATTGGCGATCAATCTGGCTATGATGACTTTGTTGGTTGCTATACGAAATAGCTGTGTTGAGGTCTTTCTATACCATACTCTCAGCTTAACAAGCCAGGATATTCTTCTTCATCCTGGGGCCTTTTTCCTTCAATTTGACCTTGTAAAATGCATTGAAGTAGCTCGTGTCTGCCTTGATTTCTCATTATATGGCCCAAGTACTGCAGCTTACGGCCCTTCAGGATGTTGACCAAATCCGCAGTTGTGTTCATCCTCCGCAGTACTTCTTCATTGGTGACTTTGTCTGTCCATGGTATCTTTAAGATCTATTTTTTTAGGGTAGGTCATGGCTCTTGAACACAGAACTCATAGTCAAGAATGCACTCTTTGCCTTTCCGATGCGACATTCAATCTCTTGGGTATTGTCCCACGACTCATTGATTAAAGTTCCCAAGTAGTGGTATTGTGAGACTCGTTCAATTCTCATTTGGTTCACATACAGATTTGCTCCAGTTATGTTTTCCTTGCTGATGATCATTAGCTTGCTTTTGCTGGTGTTTATATCCAGTCCATATTTTCTACTTGTTTCCGTTATTTTGTTCATTAGGTTTTGCTTCTATGGTATTGGAAAACACTATTTGTATCATCTGCATACCGCAGATTATTTATCTTGGCTCCATTTATTGACATACCTCTAAAGAGAAACAATGTCAACTCGTTGTTATCTTTAGGCTTTAATTTAGGCCAATCTTACCTAGTTGCCGTAAGTTTCATGGCAAAAAAAAAATCTTTTTCTTGTGTTTTTTTTTCTCACTCTTCTTTTCTTTTTTCATCAGTATTTCCTTCTATTTAAGATGTAAAAATCAGTTTTTTTTCTTTTTGATAAATATATATATATATATATGATTCCACTAGCTTTTTGTAATTTTATAAAATTAAGTTTTAGAATAAGTTATTTGCTGATTTTTTCAAATTTTAACTTCTTTCTACTCGTATATAATTTTAGTTATTTTTCCGGACATAATCTTGGGTTTATCGCTGGGAAACGTTTAATTTTTTGTGTCTTCCAATTAGATATATATTATGTAAAATCTATGGTTTTAAGTATTTTATCGTGGTAAGTGTTGGGGATTTCCAAGTGTACCTACAGACTGCATTCGGGAGTTTAGAAAACGTACTGTCCCAAATTGTGTTTTACCAATGCATTATTGTGCTCTTGTAGGTTGAATTATAATATAAAAATACTAGAATGTTGGTACTTTCAGAATTATAGCATCTATATCTAATATATATATATATATATATATATATATATATATATATATATATATATATATATATATATATAATAACTAGAATCACAACTAGATCAGCAACTTGTTTAGATAACATCTTAACAAACATAAGCAGCGAGATAGTTGGTTGTGGAATTGTGGACCCATATATTTCTGATAATCTTGCTCAATTTTGTCTACTTAAAAATAAAATCTAAAAAAAAATCATAGTGCTAATACATACAGAAAACATATAAGAAGTAATGGCAAACAGTCGTTAAACAACGTTGACTGGGCTTCAGTTGTTTCTCTCGAAACAGCAACAGAATTAGCTCAATTTATTACCGAAATGTATGTAAACTTAACTAAACAATATAATCAATTTTATTAAAGAAAAATCTGGCTGATGAGAATTTTTTTAATACAACTACAGCAACTACAAAAAAGAGTAGTAAGGATACTTGCAAGAGCAGACTAGCAGAGTCATCGAGCAAAAAGACAAAAGAGGGAATCTAATCGTTATGAAAAGGAGACCAAAAAAGTGGCCTCTTATGGCGGACGTATCCGGAAATGCAAAGGCGCTAAATTTAAATTTTCTGACACTTATTAACAATAGCTATAAAATATTCTTCAGACGAGAAAGTTTTAATTAAATATTAACGATAATAGTCTAAAAAGTGACACAATTGGTAAAAAACTTCAATATAAATAAAATTTCATGTGACAGTTGGGACAAACAATAACATAACCAAACTAAATTTGATTTCTTAAACAAGGAAAGAGAGTTTTGATGTTCTTTGTTGCTATTTTTATATTATACTTTTATACCATCATTAACTCCTAAATTAATACAAACATTAAAGGTTATTGACAATATAAAAATAGCAACAAAGAACATCAAAACTATTTCATCTTTATATTCCAAAACTAAATATCCTATAGACAAATTAGATCAAACAAATGTAGTATACAGCATTGTTTGTACTCAGTGTGAAGCTGAGTATATTGGTGAGACTGGAAGAAATCTCTCTAATCGCATTATTTCTCACAAGAGTGATTGTAGAATTAAGAAACCATCTTGTGCTTTGGCAGAGCATGTAATAGACAAAGACCATATTATGGATTTTGATAATATTAAAATTTTATGTAATGAAAGTAATAAATTTAAAAGAACTTTTTTGGAAATGGTTTGTATTAGCAAAAGTGATAATAATTTAAACAAAAGGTCAGAAATTCAAAATTTAAGCAAAATTTATAATTATATAATTTCTATTTAATTTATGCAGTCAGTAAAATATCACATTTTGAATTTTCCATGTATTTGTTACATTTTTCCGGGCATCTATCAATGGTGAATAAATCTTCTTCTTTTTTGTTACTAAACAAAGAAGAATTTTTTAAACAAAATTTTATTTTTGACAATATGTCAAAAATAAAAATTTTTAAGTTAGTATTTATGACGTTTTAGGCTGGTTGTAGCTATTCTATATTTGTTTATAATTTCAATTTTTTTTTCTTAAGAAATTTCATCTAAATTTTTCAGAGAAACATTTGTTAGAATAAGACATTTTTTTATTAATATTTTTTGTATTTATTATGTAAGCAGTAGTTTTATATAAAAAACTAATTTTATTTGGTGAGTTAACAAAAAATTTTTTATTTCTAGTTCAACTTTGTAAGACATTTTGTATTTTTTAGAAGCTCTTGATAAAAATTGTAATCACAATTGAAAGCTCGAGTAAAAAATAGTCAACAAATAGCCCCTTTTATTGACTCCAACCCATCAAAAACAGTGTTATATTTTTTCCAAACGAGTCACAAGTACTTCTTTTTTATATATATATATATATATATATATATATATATATATATATATATAGAACTGATTTGGATGGGTTGGAGTCAATAAAAGGGGCTATTTGTTAACTATTTTTACTCAAGCTTTCAATTGTGTTTACAATCATTGTCAAGAGCTGCTAAAAAATACAAAATATCTTACAAAGTTGAACTAGAAAGAAAAAAATTTTTTTAACTTACCAAATAAAATTCGTTTAGTTAATAAAAATGCTGCTAACATATTTCAAAAATATTATCATAAAATTGCTCTAATCTAATAAATGCAAAATTTTAATATAATTTTGAAAAAGTTTCTTTTAAAAAAAATTTTAAAAAAACAATTGAATTTATAAATAAATTTGAATAGTGACAATTACAATTAAGCCTCAATGTCATAAATACCAACTTAAAATTTTTATTTTTGACAAGCATATTGCCAAAAATTTAAAAATTCTTTTTTGTGTAGTAACAAAAAAGAACAAGATTTATTCACCAGATAGATGCCTAAAAAAATGTAACAAATAAATCAAAATGTAATATTTTACTGGTTTTATATATAAATTACATAGAAATAATATAATTATACCTAAATTTTGCTTAGATTTTGAATTTCTGATATTTTGTTTAAATTATTATCACTTTTGCTAATACAAACCATTTCCAAACAAGTCCTTTTGAATTTATTACTTTCACTACATAAAATTGTAATATTATCAAAATCCATAATATGGTGTTTGTCGATTACACGCTCTGCCAAAAGTGAAAAATATTTTATACTGAAGAATATAAGAGACTGGACAGGCATGGGAACAAATTCGATACTAAGCACAGCTTAAGACAATTACAGCACAGCTTAATCCGATTTAGCAAATCGCTCTATAATTGCATCAACATTTAGAGAAATTTCAGGATGCACATTGATGAGTGTAAACCAGTTAACCTTTCCTCCTAAATTGTATTTCTAAGCAAAGTCTTTAGACGCTTAAGCGTAGAAAAACTACGCCTGCTGTTGCTCCACTGACTGGAAGTGTAATTAATATTCGCAGAAATATTCTGATATTTGGATACATATGAATATCTTAGTTTTCTATCTATCTATCTAATTAGCCTTCTTCGGTCCATCTTTGGACATAGGCCTCTCCAATCCTTTTCCATTCTTCTCTGTCTGTCGCTACAGTCATCCATCTAGAGCCCACCTGCTTCTTGATATCATCTGCCCATCTCATTTGGGGCCTTCCTCTGCACGGTATCCAACTAGAAGAATTTTGTTCCATCGGTCTTCTTTTTGTCTTATATTGTGTCCGGCAAATCTCCATTTTAATTTTGCAACTTCTTGTCTAACATCCCTCACTTTTGTTTTCTCTCTTATCCACTCGTTTCTCTTCTTATCCATTAGTCTTATGTGCAACATTTGTCTTTCCATTGCTCTTAGGGTTTTTATGATTTTGTCCATGTTTGCTTTTGTAAATGTCCACGTTTGGGAGCCATACGTAAGAACAGGGAGTAGGCATTGATTATATACTTTGGTCTTAAGATGCTGTGGATATCTTTTGTTTTTAAGAATGTAGCTTAGTTTGCCAAATGCCGCCCATGCCAGTCTAACTCGTCTCTTGATCTCTGCTGTTTGGTTCTCTTTATTAAGTTTTACAGTTTGACCAAGATATATATATTTTATATATATGTTAAGCATTATATTTATATTTATATATATATGTTAAGGATTATATATATCGCAGTTTTCTAATACTTTTAAAATAGAATCAGAAAGTTTTCCATTATTTTGCACGACTCTTTTAGATAAAACAACTCGAAGATTAAATAGATCCATAACTTCCGGTGAAAGTCGTTCTTCTAAATCAGTTAAGATATTGTCTAAAACGGGTAAATACATAGATCTTCGGAAATATTCTTCGCGAGAGTTAGCAGGTTGGTTTTGACGATAAACTATACGAGGCATCCTTAATTTAATGTCTAGTTGTTCAGCTATTTCCTTTACTTCATAGTAAAGTTTCCTAAAAACCGATTCAGAATTTGATCTTTTATTTTGAAGAATGCATTTAGTGTCCTCTATGGCCTCAGTAGCCTTCTTCAAATCTAATTTTGGTGACTGAAGAAGACGACTAAGTGATATCGTTGTACTTAAAACATCACTAAGACAAACTACTGAAATGAGAAATTCTGGATTCCTAATAGTTTGCATTAATTCCTTCATGCAGCTTCATGCCTTTCAATCCAACGAGTTTCACAAATACCTTGGACAGACGCCCCAGTTCCTTCTTAAAAACATTATGTCGTTTGGGAGAGGCATTAGCAAAAGCTACTACTTTTCTAATATAATATAACTTTTGAGGAGCTTACCAAGGAATTATTCAAAATAGGATTGCTGCATGGACAACGCATAGCACGTTCGGCCGTTTTTTTGACACCAAAACCTATGCAAAAATTTAAATATAAATTAAAATTCTTTACGGAATCTTCAACAATGTGGCCTAAAGCAACTCCAGTTAAGCGGCGTTCTCCTTCTGAACCGACGTCTTCTAGACTTGAATCGTAGGCGTTAACAAATGTGGTGAAATCTTCTCTAATCTCATTTAAACTAAGATATCGCAGAGACATTCTTCTTTACAGCAAGAAATGATATCATTTTGAGTAGTTTTACTAATTAATGTAGTATTAGCCGGAGCAGTTTCAAAATGTTTTCGCAGATCATTATCGCCAGCATCTATACCAAATCAAAGCAATGCTCTAAAATTGTTATAATTTTTTTTGTCTTTTAATATTTTTATCATCCCTATGCCATCTCAAAGAAATATTTAGTCTACCACAAAGAATAACAGTTTTTATTATTGGATTCAAATTCTTCCTATTTTCTTGAATCATTTCAACTCTTAACTTTCTGCTTATAGGATTGGTGAGTTATAAATTATTTTTTCAGGATTATTTGATTGATATTTATTTTTGATGGGAGGGGGGGTGGTCATAACCCGCGTGACCCACCTCCCTTGGATCCGCCAATGAAATTAATGTGGGTAGAATACCTAATATTGACATTTTAGGTTAATATATTATTAAAGTAATTTTATTATCTCTGTCACTGAGGCGTTGTTATTGCTTAATCCCTTAGGATTTGCTTATTTGCATTTTATGGTGTATTGTATTTGAGGTTTGTCGGAGTAGTCATATTAAAGTCGAGTGAAAATCCAGATAAGAAGGTATCAATTATTACGTTTTTTATGCATTGACCAACCCTGTATTTAGACCTTTGCTATAAAATGTGTGCTATTAATCATTTTCAAATGCACTACATAAAAGTGGTCAAAATGTGCAAATGGATATGCAAGTATGTAAATGCATAATTATTCAAACCCTAATCATAACCAACGTGACATTACCGATACATCGAACTGAAAAGCATGACTTCTATTGTGCTGTAACAAATCTGTAAATATTGATATTTGTTTTGTACACACATGACACCTCAGGTACAATACAATTACGGAAAAATACGAAAAAGAAATAATAAATTAACTCTCCTTTTAAATGCAAATTAAATTGACAATCTAAATATTTTACTTGCAAATTCAGCGACATAAAAACATTCCGTGGGTTTTACTAGTATTGTCGCGTTAATCCATATTAAGATTTTCTTCCTTGTATTTATTCGGTTTTTTAAATACAATAAATGTTACTTTTATGTTGCTTTGTCTTCGAATGCGAAATTAAACGCGTATTTATTCTGATTTTTAAATCTTGTCTATTTACTTTCTTCTTTAGTTACTGTATTTTGCTACTTACATATGAATGGACAAATTTTGCACAATGATCAAAGACGTCGCGTAATTTATCAATAGAATTTTTCCTTCACACAACAAAAGTGTCGAGTTTAAAATAAAGTATAACAAGAATGGTGTTTAAATCAAAATTAACTGGCAAAATATTAATTACTATTTTGATGGGAATAAGCCACAATTGAAAGATAAAGTCAGTTTATTGACGTTGTCATACTCAATTTAAAATTGTTTTCCTATATACTTCTGTAAACTTGTTGACGAATATCTATTTTTCATTGAGTCATCCGTATCAACAGTTTAGGGATTTGCATACATAATGTGCTATCAATATGATGGAAATGGACTATATCCCACATGGTAAGTATTTGGTCTTAAATTTAGTTTTACACTCAATAAACAGCAAATTCTGATTTTAATTTTAATTCTAAAATGGGAATTTGGTGTTTATTTATATATATGTATTTCAGATTGAGAAATTTATCTTTAAATTTTATTTCCTCGTCAACTAAATATTTCGCCAGTTGGTTATTTATCCGACTACAAGGATGGAGTTGTTAATATGTATACAACAAACACATCACTGACACGTTCTTCAATTACATTTCTACGAGCATATTAGTATGCCACATTATGACAAGATAATGATACGTTGATGTGCATCAAGATTATATTTATATTCAGAGTTAATGCTTCTACATTTACATTCCTCCATTTTCCCAACCTGTGTTGTCCGTTTCAGGTTACAAAAACACCAATGGTTAACTTCAGGATCTTAGTTAACTCATGCAGAGTGTAATATTTGGCAAATTGTTTCTTCCCCTTTTTCCTTTCCACAAGAATTTCCTAATACGACTTCTAATGTTTCAACTCAAATCTTTAGTGTGTTTTCGAGACTGATTGTAAATTTTTGAATTTGTCAATTTCGGAAAGTCTCTGATCTTGAAATTTACGACGACTCCTCGACCGTCTGGGAATTCTGAGATAAACGAGAATACAAATTGATGTCGAAGTATGCTTCGCAATCTGAATAAATTATAACGGAGAAGGTAGACGGCAAAAATTCCACACAAACTATTTCTTACAAATACAGCTTTTCATTAAAATGTAAATGGCGAAATCAAGCTCACTTTATTCGTTTACGGTTACTTGAAAAATCATTATTACATCGTGTTATTAAATGAATTATTCATTTTTCTAATACATTTTACATGAACTACTATCCGCTTTGATCTAGTTACCAATCAGGTCCTAATATCTCTATGCTTTTTTAGAAATTATAAAGTTAAAATCGTACTGTAATTTTACGTTTGGATTTTCGCAACACTTTGAAGCCCTTCGCGATCGTTATTAATTACAATTTAGAATACGTGGTTGTCGCAACATCTTGCGGATTAACACGTTATTGAATCAAAATTGTGACTTAAATAATAGTCGAATTGTCAGAGAGTTTACATCTAAAAATCATACAAACAAGCTGAATTTCGCCGAGAATATCAATTTTGGGAACCAAAAAAACTGCAAAAATATTTACCACTTTTACATGCTAGCTTCCCCTTAAAACTTTCCTCGTAGAGGAGTAAAAACACAAAAAAATCGATTTAACAAGAACCTGTACGCCGTAGAAAAAAAGTTTTAACCTAAAAATGTAGCTAATGATTCAGTAAATTTGTACTGTAAAGTGATACTAGTAGGAAAGTTTTGGGGAAGTTCTGATTTTTTCATTCCATATGTGTTTTGGTGTGCTAAATCTGAATCTGAGGTTTGCAGACAAAATTTCGTGACGCAACATTTAAAAAACCAGAAGAAATCGTTTTTTTTTTTGGCTTTTTTCCGGTTTTTTGCTTAAAACTCGAAAACTGTTAACTTTTTTGTTATTGTACCGTATTGTATTGTATTGTAACCGTTCGGTCTCAAGTGCAAATGATGGTGCCCACTGTGTCGCAGGATGGTGCCCACTGTGTAGTTTTCTTGCAAACCCAAAAAACAAGAGCCGTGGAGAAACTTCATGATGCAAAAATTCATTCAAAGCAAGCTGTGGAAGATGCTGATATCCTAATTATCTCAACAGCTTTTGAGATGGCCCCATCAAATGAACATGTGACAGTGGTGGGAGAAGATATCGACCTACTGGTCATTTTGATTGGCCTTTGTAGCTTTGATATAAAAAATGTATTTTTTTTTGAAGCCAGGAAAAGGAAAGGTTTCGCAAAGCCTCTACAACCCTCATCTGGCTGCTGAGAAAATCCTATTGGATCATATTTTATTCCTGCATGCGATGAGTGGTTGTGATACTACTTCTGCATTGTTTAATCAAGGGAAACTGAAATTTTCATTTTCAAACTGCATTGTTTAATCAAGGGAAACTGAAATTTCTTAAAGTCCTGAAGAAGAACAAAGATTCGCAATCGGTAATTGAATCTTTCAAATACCCTAATTCAAGTCAAGATGAGATTGCCACAGCAGGAAACATGTTTCTCACGGCTCTATATGGAAAAAAAGAGACAAAACTAAACGATTCAAGATATAAACAATACGTATCTTCATCATTCAAAAATAAGACCAACATTTTCTCATTGCCCCTAACTGAAGCTGCTGCACGAGAACATTCATTGAGAGTTCACTATCAGGTGCAGCAGTGGTTATCCGGTCAAGCCACACCTAACGAGCAACAAAAAGACCCAAGTGAGTGAAGATGGCAAAAAACTAGTAGTGGTCTTGTGCCAATACCAACACCAACTACTTTGGACCCTGCACCAAACTTAATACTCCGGTACATTTCATGTAAATGTAAACAGGGCTGTCAACGCAATTGTGGATGCAGGAAGGCGGGACTCCATTGTTCCCCAATATGCGCATCATGCGAAGGACTGTGTAACAATGTTGAGCCCCCAGAAGACAGCTCTGACATAGACGTAGAAGAAACTGAAGAAAGAGGGAGAGGTATGTTGGATCTGACAAGTTATTTTGTAGTCATTCATCTCTCCTTGATATATGATATTTGTCTCTCCTCTTTTTATTTTACAGGAGAATGACTCCCGACGCGGATGGAGCAATCAGACCCTAAGCCAGTACCCGATGCCATCGAAGAACCTCACTACAATGCGGAAGGTATGTTTAATCTCACAATCTATTTTGCAATCTTCATCTCTTCTTGATAAATGACAACTTTAAACTTTTATTTTCCAGAACAAGCAGAACCAGGACTCATCGTTATCGAAGAACCTCAGCCAGGGCCTTCCAAAAGACAACGGCTCATATAAATTTTGCATATTATAATTATTTATAATCATAATAATATATGATCATAAGTAACGAGATTTTAAGTTTTACTTTGTTACGAGTTCTACCTACCTACTGAATTTGCATAATTTTTCCCTTTTTCCTTTTTAATTACTTGTGTGGAAAACTAGGTGACATTTATCAAATGACAGCATTCATAAAAATTAAATACTTATTGAAATGTAAAAAGTGGGTTTACATTTCCCATTTACAATTTTCAACTGGCACTAGAAACCAAACGATTCGTCTGAAAAAAAAACTAAATACTGGTATTTGTAGAAAATTTCAAGTACGTTAATTTCTGTAAACAGACCATTTACCAAAAGTTTTAAGCAAAAAACCCCAAAAAAGAAGAAAAAAAAACATTTTATTCTGTTTTTTTTTTAATGTTGCGTCACGAAATTTTGTCCGCAAACCCCAGATTGGGATTAACACTTAGACTGCCGCCATAGTGAAAAAAAGAGGGTCCTTGCAGCCGGACATATTTCTATCCCATATAAATAACATACAAGCGAGAATCAAAAGCTGATTCTCGCGGCAACAGAA